AAAAAAAAAAAAAAAAGAATCAAGTTTAAAAGAGCTGGTGCAGGTGAGAGGATAAGACCTGGAAAAACTAGGAGTGTCAACATAACAGTACTCACTAGATGACAAGCACCATTGTAAGGACTTTACATATACTAATCACTTCATTCATGAGGTAGATGCTACTGTGAACCTCATTTTAGAGGTGGAGAAATAGACACAGAAGCTACAAAACTTGACCAAGGTCACAAAACTAGTAAAGGGTATGGTGGGGATTAGAACTCACCCTTGACTTGCTCTAGGTATAAAAAACAGGGCCAGCGCCTGTGGCTCAAAAGGGTAGGGCACTGGCCCCATATGCTGAAGGTGGTGTGTTCAAACCCAGCCCCAGCCGGAAAAAAAAAAAAAAAAAAAAGAATTCTTAGCTCCTATAGAGGGTTGACTTTGTCCTTCAGGCTGCAGTTTGCAACTTCTGATGCAGACTTGGTATGGGAGATCTAGCAACCAGCTTAAGCCATATGCAAAGTAAGGTGTGGGGTATGTGCATTTTTCTAATTCATAAAATTACCAAAAATCATTACTGACCAATAATACTGTTAAAAACCACTGACCTAGCAAAATGCACACATAAACTATTAACCTTAAAAGAAAGGAAATTATGTGTTTGTTATTAATAAAATAGCTTTCAAATACTGATAAATCATTATTTTCTTCCTAACGAACCTGTGGACAGGTTTCTAAATCAGATAGATTTCAGTGGACTTGGGAATATCCTCTTTCTTCCAGTTCCATAGGTACCAAAAGTGAAAAGGGGTGGGAAGTGCTGACCTAAAGTTCTCTTAGTCCTATGAGATCATGACTAGGGTCTGCCTATCTGTTTTTTCAGCCAATAACTACATGGAATCCAAGTGTCAGGCTGTCATCCAAGAACTGCGTAAGTGTTGTGCTCAGAATGCCAAGGGAAGATCACTCGTCTGTTCAGGATTTGAAAAAGAAGAGGAAGAAAACCTGACACTGAAGTCTGCATCAAAGTAAAGTTCTACTGAGAAGTTAAATTCTGCTCCATGTTTCCACCAAGGGAGTTTTATTTATCTTCCTGACTTTGTTCAGGCCAGGTAGCAGCAAATGACAAATGAAAAATGCAATTGTAAAAGTTAATGAATATGCCATCTATGCAGAACAGGCAAAATAATATAAATACATTAAAGACAAATATGTAGAATGTAATAAAACTGAGCTGCTAAAATAAACTTAAGTGAAAATTTTTGGTTTTATACTAAATGTATCTTAAAACTATTAGGTATAGGTATTAATGAGTGCTCTTTAGCCTTCAGACCACTAGTGCCACTCACGAAACTTACGTCAAATCAAGTATGTAAGGTGTAAGGACTCACCCCTCCAGCATCACAATTTTGACACTATTATATGCTAAATTATAAAAGTTTCCTTTAGGGCAGCACCTGTGGCTCAAAGGAGTAGGGCACTGGGCCCCATATGCCAGAGGTGGCAGGTTCAAACCTAGCCCTGGCCAAAAACTGCAAAAAAAAGTTTCCTTTAAACTAACTCAATACCTTTTGGACTTCCAATAATGGACGACAAAGCATCTTTCCAGATGCCAGTAAGAGCATTTCTTTCAGCTTTTGCATCCCCACCATGGTGTCTAGGCAGAGGTGCTTAATATTAGTGGTAGGAATGATTCATTTTTTTGAGACAGAGCCTCAAGCTGAGCCCCTGGGTAGAGTGCCATGGCTTCACTGCTCACAGCAACCTCCAACTCCTGGGCTCAAGTGAGTCTCCTGCCGCAGCCTCCCAAGTAGCTGGGACCACAGGCGCCCGCCACAACGCCCGGCTATTTTTTGGTTGTAGCCATTATTGTTGTTTGGTGGGCCCGGGCTGGATTTGAACCTGCCACCTTAGGTGTATGTGGCTGGCGCCTTAGCCGCTTGAGCCACAGGCGCCGAGCCAGGAATGATTCTTTTCAAATGAAAAAAAATTTCATTTGAACTCAGGCAGAAGACAATTAAAATTTTTAGGTGGTTTATCTGTTCTTTATATCCTTACGATAAAAACCTGTTCCAGAGGATCTGAACAACATTAATACAAAGCTGATGAAGGAAACTTGTTGACAGTTGTCACTTTACAGAATAGAGACACTATCCAACAAGCCATTAGCATTCCTCAACTGAGTGCTAGAATCACCATTGCTATGACTAAGAGCAGTAACAAATTCTAATAGGTCCCCGATATTCAAATACTATTTGAGAAAAAACAGTTTTCTTTCTTTTTTTTTTTTTT